TTTCTTTCCTTACGTCTGAAGCATTATCAAGATTCTGTGAATTCTACTTCACACTGTATCTACAAGTTCACCTGTAGTTGCGGTGACGCATCCATTGCAAAGCATTTATTGATGTGTGGTCATAAAATCAGCATTAATGACTGTTTCTCAATTATTTCAAGGTTATTAAAAGTGATGGAAGCATTTTTGGGATTAATCACATGCATTCCAAACCACTATATTGTGTATAGAAAACAACAGACTTCAGCCTTTGTCTAAAACATGGACTACTTGACCTACTAAAATATGATTGGTTGTCAGTATGTACTTTTGTTTTACATAACTGTTATGCATTTTATTTTATTATTATTGTGAACCTTGCTAGTTGTAAAACGATTGTAGGAAAACTACGAAATGATGTCATCATCTCTCAGTGATGATATTTGTCTTCGTAATACCTTCTTTATATTTATCAAAGGGATAAAATTCATATATGTGTAAAACTTAGGCACTGTGGTAGTAAGTAGTCCCATATTATTTAACAGTGTGAAGTATTCCCATATCATGAATTAAAAGTCAATCTGAACGAAGAATATTCTTTTCAATAATTTCTCCCGTGCAGGTTCTTACAATTATAAAATATAATATTTGTTGTCGTTACAATAATGGCCAGTTATGCGGCGGATACACTTTTCAACGTAGAATAACAGATTAGTGGTTATGGGGTGTCAAAATAAATAGTCGTATTTGTGTGACAAACGTGCCAGTTGGCTGAAATCGATTACAAAATATTGTAAAATGGGAGACAATGGTGGTGATTAGTCATAATAGATTCGTAGAGTGTGGGATAGGAAAACTGACAAGTCAGTTCAAGGTTATAAAAGGTGTCAGGTGAGTGAGTGGCTAGTACAAAGTGGTATGTACTAAACAGGAGATAGTAAGACTGCAATGAGAGGTTCATAATGAAATAACGAATGTGTGAAATGAAACAGATCGATACTGGACATCGCATCGACGTCAACACAGCTTTCAGGGTTATATACCGAATTCCGAAGTCGCTATCACGTGCAGTTCGCTTACGTCTGCTACACATACCTGAAGCTGTTGCAATAAGATCGACTAAACCGGAACTTTGTATCCAAAAAGAACATGTCCAGCCGCTGTTCCTACCGTGGCCAAACTTGGATTGATGATTCTTCTTCTCACCAAGAGTGCTTCTTCCCCTTAACCCTCTAGGTTTTTTCTCTTTCTTTGCTTATAATTACAATTATTATTATTATTCGTCATAATTTATGCCATTCATGCAAACATTCTCTCAATACTATCGAATTTTCCATTTATACTATCCGGACTTATTATTAGTGATATTATCTCTTTTCTCAATATATGCCTCCACCAGTTTCATTTTACACATTTCGTTATTTCATTATGAACCTCACATTGCAGTCTTACTACCTCCTGTTTAATACATACCACTTTGTACTAGCCACTCACTCACCTGACACCTTTTATAACCTTGAACTGACTCGTCAGTTTTCCTATCCCACACTCTACGAATCTATTATGACTAATCACCACCATTGTCTCCCATTTTACAATATTTTGTAATCGATTTCAGCCAACTGGCACGTTTGTCATACAAATACGACTATTTATTTTGACACCCCATAACCACTAATCTGTTATTCTACGTTGAAAGGTGTATCCGCGCATAACTGGCCACTATTGTAACGACAACAAATATTATATTTTATAATTGTAAGAACCTGCACGGGAGAAATTATTGAAAAGAATATTCTTCGTTCAGATTGACTTTTAATTCCATATTAGTTTGTTTATTAGATGTATCACACAGTCAGTGAAACAGTATTATTTACTGGATGATAAGGTTTCGAACAAAATTTATTGCTGTTCATAATGATATCAGTTATAATCACACGACTTCGAGATTAAGCCACCTAATCGTATCACTAGAACGCAATTCAGAAGTCCAGATTAAGTTGAAAACAGGTTTCAGTACTTCCTAAATTGTCATTAGTCCCCTGTTCGATATTCATCTGTCATACAAACTACATTCAAAGTTGGTCAGTCTATCTAATAACTAAATTATCTGTCCAAAACCAATATGAGATAATCTTATGAACCTAGAAGACAAAAGAAAGTTCGAGTAAGGAATAAATTCCTCTTCCGGCTCTACAATTATATATATATATATATATATCATGGAAAATTCCCATTGTAACATATAGAAAATCAAAACAAATGATTCAGCGAAGAGACTCTTTTCAACGAATTTATCATCAAACTGTACCACGTTTTATAGATAAGAATATACATTCAAATCCTAAAAAACGTGACTTATCAACCGTACCCAAGAAAATACCTTACATGAGCTTGGAATTCAAAGGGGACTTAGCTTCCGATATCATGAAACGAAGGATATCACAGTCCCTGAAAAGAACATTCCCTGCTGCATCTCTGAGAATAGCCTTTACTAGTCGACCATTACTGTTCAATAACCTGAAGGACAAGATCCCGCTGTTGACCAACTCTATGTGTGTTTATCAATTCATCTGCTCGTGTGGAGCTAGGTATATCGGTCGTTCGACACTAGTTTTGTCGAAGAGGGTGCAAGAACACTATCCTGCATGGTTACGAAAAGGTGGAAGTGGAGCAATAAGAAGCGCGATCATTGAACATCTGGTCGATAATGATCACCCTATCTCTATAGCCTCCGCCTTTAAAGTCATCTACAAGGCAAAGAGTAATTTACCCAAATCCCTACGTACCCGACTCATCTGTATTGCTGAAGCTTTGGCTATCGAAACAGAAAAGCCAGATCTCTGTGTACAGAAGAAGTTCGTTCAACCCCTCCAACTTTCATGGTCTTAATCCCTCTATGCTAAAGTATGGTAATCCCCAATCATATTTTAGCTCTACCAATTTCCATTTTTTCATTTTTGTTTATTCAATTTGTATACTCTTTCTTATTAAGTCAATTGTTACATTACTACTCTCACTTTGAACTGTCCCCGGTATTATTTCACTTGTCATTCTAAATCAATTCCTTTATACAACATTAAATTCTATGCTATTAAATTTCACACAATATTACGTAACGTTTTTATCTTTATTCGATTTGTATACTAATCTTATAATTGCACACCCTTTTTCAAGTTCTATCCATCCTATGAATTATTCTATAAATGACATTAATTTGCTTTGCCACTTGACATTTAACTACGATTATAATCACAAACATTTTAGTTTTAGAAATTGCATTTCATATTATTATAATATATATATATATATATATATGATATTCTAGAATAATCGTCATTAACAATACCGACCCTGTTTCTAAATAACATCCTCTTGTTTAGATCAGTGGAATTACACAGTTCAAGAAAGATGCGTAAGTTATAATGAGCAAATGTGACAAATTACGGATAGTTATAATCCTGATGGCCAAAGTAAGGAAAGCGTGTGAACTAATTAAGATTAGCCGGTATACGGTAGATGACTCTGAAAGCCTTATAAACATCAATTTTGTTTTCTCTGTATCCACGAGATGAGATAGAATAAAGCTACGAATGAACCTTGTTAATTCCTTGCTTCACTATTATACAGGATACTGTTCAGAAATCCAACGATAAAGACGCCTAACAGTCAAACTGATAGATATACACATAGAAGAGGCAAATTAAGGCAGTTTATCTTTAACTCTAGAACGTAAAAACAGGAGTGGTTGTGAAAAAACACAACAACTTTCTTCAAGTTGATATCAACTTGATATGATTATGAGCAATAGTTTGTGCTCGAAACGTCATCAGTAAATATTACTGTATAACACTGTGAGACTCTATCAAAATAAAAATTTACCCATAATGGAATTACACTCTACCATAGTGCCCAAGTTTTATTCTTATATCAATGATACTTTTTCGTAACTATCGGTACTTTGACTTTCCTTGGCCATTAGATTCAAATTCGTGTCGATAAATTTCTCTGGGTAACCATTTTCACTCAATAATTGTCGGTTTTATGATATTGAATTCTTCATTAAGACATTCATTAGAGCAAACTGTTATCGCTCTGTGGATCAAACACTTTATTCCATTGAGTTCATATTTCAAAGTATAGGAAGCTTAATTGGTGGATGGTGACTAGCAATGGAATCCAGGATACACAATTCGTCCTATTTCGGACTCGTCAGCCAGTGGATTTATCTGAATTCCCCAGTCAATGATGATGTTCCCACCAAGGCTCGAACCCAGTGACCATAGTTTCAAACTCCAAAGCGTTATCCACTAGACCACTTGGGCTACGAAAGCCACCTCTTGTGCAACGGGTTCTATTAATTATTTAATTCAGGTTAGATTTTCCCGTCGACTGATTGGACCGAAGTGTTCCTCCTCGGTCTAAGGTTGACATGTCGGCTGCTTGTGCAGATGCACTGGGTTCGAGCCTCGGTGGGAACATCATCACTCACTGGGGAATGCAGGCGCATCCAGATGACGAGTCCCAAATAGGACGAAATGCGCATCCTAGATTCCACTGCCAGTCACCATCCACCAATTAAATTCTAACTACATGCCCAGACATCGTCGAAGCATCTGCACAAGAAGCCGACATGTCAACCTGAAACCGAGGTGCACTTCGGTCCGTCCAATCAATCGACGGGAAAATCTAAAATTCAATTGTATAGGAAGCTTATTTTCCTTTGTTGCTTTATGTATTAATTTTTTTAATTTTTGATTATAGCTTGAAACCACACAGTAATTTTGGTACAAGTATGGAATTTTCAGCATGTGATATCCGTAGCCCAAATTTTGCAGGCCGACCATTGATATCAGGTGTGCGCTGGCAGGAGATCGAACCCCAGACCATGTACATGGTCAGCGAGAGTCCTAACCGCTGTGCTACCGATGCAGATATGAAGTATGTGAACTATTATAGAGCAAGAGTAATATGTGGCACAGAAAATACAGTATATACATGTACTCAAAATCATAACTTACATCTACCATAGACATATCTTCACCAATACTTAAAGCATATTTAAATAAATCCCGTCTTGTAATGATTCCATCTCGATTTTTATCAATTTTAGAGAATTGTTCAATATAATCCATGACTAACTGACTGACTGACTGACTTTAGATTGTTAATTACAATATAATGATAATAATGGTAGTGTTAGTAATAATATATTCCTTGTCTGTTTTGTTTTACAATGTATGATTGTAGAAATGAGGTTAAGCTTTGACGACAAAAAACAAAAGTAAGGTTATGAAAATAAGCGACAATAATGATAAATATTAATAATAATGATAAAGGAGAAGAGCACTTGAATTTTTTGTTTTTGTTCATTTCATATTTGTTTATATATATATCTATTTTTTTACGTCGTTCAGGTGATTCAAATATTTCGCCGTATAACTAAATGATGAGACAGAAATTAATGGTAGTAGTACTAGTAGTAGCATTGACTGTAATTTATTGATTTTTTATAATATATATATAACCACCAGTGTAAAGTGTGTGTATTTCACAAAATTGCATGTCAAGTATGTACATGAGTATATATGTATGTATATGTATGTGCAAGTATGCATCATGCAACAATACGCCTTGTGTGTGTACAGTCAATCATCTCTACTCAAAGTTAATTGGTGGACACAGAAATGAATTGCTCTTAGGTAGATAGATAGATAAATAGATAGGTAAGTTATCTTCATATAATCTAATAATGTATATATTTGTGCATTAAATAAGATACAGGTAAGGATGATTTGTTGATCACATATTTAATTTATTTAAAAAAATAAATAATGAATCAGGTCAGAAATTCCAATGGTATAGGTCAATGTGAGAAGATGAATACAAATAGCAAAACACACAAAAAAAAAAAAAAAAAAACAAAAAGATTCACTTATATAGAAATTTAATTATATAAGTAATATAAATTAAATTAATCAGGAATGTTAATCATTTAAAGGTTAGAATAGAGTTAATATTATCATATATGTATATATATATATAGACAAGAGTTATATAATGAGTATTCCTTTATACAACATGTACATTGGCATAATTTTGACATTAGCAAAAAGTATTATAAGAAATTACCCTGCTGCTTACTCAAAATACACCACATGCATATGATGGTGATGACCATGAGAATTACTGCTCAGTTATTGAGTAGAAATCACAAAGTTTTTTTTGAGATTCCAGATATAAGACAAACTCGATTTCATCTATACATACATACATAATCGACTAAGTAAGTGTAAGTGAGTAGTTATTAGATATAAATTTGTGATATTTATTTTATATAGAAATTACTCCGAAATGTCAGCTAACATCAGACATTAATTGTGATACAAAGATTGAAGTCAGAAGACAAAAGCAAGACAGTGTGTTTGTTATGTAGGTATTTTGTCCCAGTTAAAGGATTTGTTTTGAAGGATATTCGTTTATTTTTTTGTTTTTTGTACATCTGCTTTTGAATCGGTAATCAGGTGCGTCTTTTGTTAAATGTGCTTTCTTTGAAATAAACTGAGTCATGAACTGTTTTAACTAGTTGTATTTTCACCTTTAGGCATAAATCTGACCTAAACAAACTGGTTAGCACTCATGAGGTGTGCAACATTGATGGCACTGAAATAGAAACCAAGTCGGAAATTAAATACCTAGGCGTCATTCTATCTGCTGATCTTTCCTGGTCCTCTCATATCTTGACGATTTCTAAGAAAATATTCCGTCTTACCTTCTACATCAAGAAGTTAAAATATTCTGGTATAACCCAACCCTTACTCTTACGATTCGTTAACTTTCTCATCCTGCCTATTATTCTCTATTGTTCCCCCTTAGTTTTTCCAGGGCTACTGAAGAAAGACTATATCTTAATTACGTAGAGTGTTAAAGGTTGTCAGCAGGGTAAGCAACGTGCCACTTAACCAGCATGTTAATATTCTGGTTGACAGGCACTTGGACTCATGTGAAAAATGGGCTAAATCCATTCTATCTAACTCACACCACCCTCTTCATTCACAACTCTCTCCTTGTATCTCACTATGCAGGACCAGACGCCTATATAGAAAACTATACGCACGCACTTGCAAGTACAAAAACTCAACCATACCCTGCTTGGCTCGTGTTCTGTGCGATAAAGAAAGCATTAGGCGTGATACCTATAACTTATTAAATAGTCAGTAGAACAATTGGATCTCGTCTTTCCAACTCATATCATTTATAGGTACAACGTTTTCTTTCTTTCTTTTCCTTTTCTCTCTCTTTTCTTTCTGTTATGTGCTGCTTTGTTTCTTTCTCTCGCTTACGCCAGTAAATATGATAGCATCTACTTTTCTAACACCTTCAAACACTGTTCAATTTTGGCTTTGCTACCGACATGCCAATATGTTGTTGTCATAATGAACTGAGATTTCCTTAATCTATGTAGAATTTTATGTACTGTATTTATCTATGTATTATGTATTTTGATAACTGGATGCAATACTGTAGTGAAATGCTGAGAATTCCATTCTGTATCACAAGTACTGTTTTGGAATAAAGCAAATTATTATTATTATTATTTTATTTCTCTAATAGAGTGCAATATACTGTATATATAAAGGCAAATCTTCCTCTGCCTTGCTTATTGAAGTCGGTGTCGCTGAAGGTGCTGTTCTCCTAACGTTTCTTTTTTTTTCTTTCTTCTTACATGACTTGCCTATTTCGGATGACACCAACTTCGTTATATATATGCTCATGATCTGACTGTCTCGTTGCCACTTACGTCCTGATCTAAGTGTTCCAAACTATGGGCACTGAGTACGAACCTCGGTGGGAACATCACCATTCACTGAGGAATGCGGGTACATCCAGCTGACGAAATTCGCATCCTGGATTCCACTGCTAGTCACCATCAACCAATTGACTTCAAATTGCATACATGACCAGACATCGTTGAAGCATCTGCACAAGCAGCCGACATGTCAACCTGAGACCGAGGAGTTCAACGGGAAAATCTAACCTGAACTAAATAATTAATAGAACCCGTTGCACAAGAGGTGGCTGTCGTGGCCCAAGTGGTCTAGTGGATAACGCTTTGGAAATTGAAACTATGGTTGTGGTGAGAGCTGTCTACTAGCCAAATTGGTAGACAGTAATTTACGTCAATATTTACGTTCCCAAGATTTGTCGTGAGAAACAACCGATCGGAAGACCGTGTTTGTTTGTTTACATATCCATAGTAATGTACATGAAAACATATATAAATATGCGTTGATTTCCTTAATAAATGATCTGTTGCCTGACTCTTGCCTTCTGTCGTTACATGGTCACTGGGTTCGAGCCTCGGTGGGAACATCATCATTCACTGGGGAATTCAGGTACATTCACTGGCTGACGAGTCCGAAATAGGACGAATTGCGCATCCTGGATTCCACTGCTAGTCACCATCCACCAAATAACTTCTGAATACCTTTTTGTCGGACATCAGTCAGTGGTCCAAGTTAAGTAGTCTTAGAGTAAATCCTTCCAAATGTCCGACAGTTAACCTCACAATCAAGCACAAATGTGATCTACACGAATTAGTTCGTTCACAAGATACTTCTAGCATAGAGGGTACTGAAATAGAAACTGAGTCAAGCATTAAATACCTTGGTACAGTTCTATCCTCTGACCTTTCTCCGTCATCCCATATGTTGTCAATTTCTAAGAAAATATTTCATCTAACCTTCTACATTAAGGAGTTACGACAATCTGGAATCACTCAACCTCCACTTTGACAAATTGCATCTTACCTATTGTTCTTTATCGCTTCCTCTTTGTCTTTCCTAAATTACTCCAAAGAGGACTGTTTCATATTGCGAAGGGTATTAAAGGTTGTCAGTTAGACAACTGGTGTGCCACTAATTCAGCTCGTTACTATTTTGTAGTTGGCAGTCATCTGAATTCATGAAAGAAATGCGCAATGTCTGACTCTCAGAACCCTCTCTAATCACAAATTTGCCACACTTATATCTCATAAGGTATTAATAGAAGTCAAAATAAAAGATAATACTCTCATACAAGTACAAAAACTCAACGATACCGTATTTTCTTTATCGACGAAATCATCTTCAGAGGCTGCCGTACAGTCGTATTTATATTTACCAAAAATGTATAGTAGTCTATTATTGAATAATAAAGGGAGGGGGGGTGACATAATTGATATAATCACTCAGAAGTGGCTTTAGAAGTAAAAAATAAAAGTTGTAAATTACGTGATACTCAACAGCACAAAGTTAGAAATTTGATAAGGTTAAAATTGCTATTGAGTGAGTGAGAATAAAGGTGGTAGTTGAGTGTCAATTTAACAAGTGTGAAGAGGGTGTGAAAATGTACAGAAGGAACATGTGAGAGTGTGTGAATAGTGAATTAATTATTAAAGCAAAAGCAAACTAAAAGTAATACTGGAAATTAAAAAAGAAAAGAAAAAATCAAAATTTGTTTTTACAGGGAACGACTAGTGAAGAGGTTAAGATCAAGGTAGAATAAGAGACTGGACAAACTTTTTCTGTATACAGAGTTCTGGATTGTATTGACGAATTGCCAGCGTCTCCGCCATACACAAATGCCGAAACCTGACGCCCTTTGTACCATTTGGCCTCACCTTGTAGATGATCTTGAAAGACGACTCTGGTGGAGCTACGTGGCTCGAGTTCACCAAGTGCTCGAGAATTGAGCTAGTAATTGTCTTGCATTGTCGTTTTGCTAGCCATGCCGGATAATGTTCAGAAATGCGTTTGGAAAGTGTGCGCCATTGTGCGGCCAATATAACTAGCTCCGCAGAAGCAGATCAATTTATAAACACACATTGAGGTGGCCCAAAGCGGCAGTTTATCCTTCACACATCCATTGATCATTTGTCGGCTGTAGAAATTGATCCGTAGCTCATCCGTAAAGAAGGCTTTCCTCAGTGATCTGTATAAGCGATTCTTCAGGATCTCAGCTGTGGTTTCACCTTTAAATTCAACGCTCATAAATAGCAGTTTCTTCGGCACTGTCTGGGTTCTTTTAGGCTTTTGCTTTAACTTCATGTTTTTCTCGATAAATCTTGGAGGATATCCATTCTCTACGAGGATTTGTCTGAGTCGCCCCAGTTTCCCATCGATTGCATCACTGGAACATATCCTCCTTATTCTTGAGGATAAGGAATGGATCAGATTTCTCTCTCTTCTCAAAGGGACCCAACTATGGAAATTTGTGTACTGACCACTCCATGTTGGTTTCCTGTAGGTCGATCTTTGAAGAGAACCATCAGATCTCATTTTTAGAAGAACATCCAAAAAATGGAATTCCGAGTTAATCTCTGATTCCGACTTGAATTTGATGGCATGATGGCAGCTGTTGAACTCTTTAGTTATCAATTCGATGTTGGTATTGTCGTCACATATGATGAAAGTATCATCCATGTATCTTTGGTACAAATG